GCTGCGTGCGGCTGAGCGCCGAGCGGGCTCAGGCGCTGCTGGCCGACGTGGACACTCTGCTGTTCGACTGCGACGGCGTGCTGTGGCGCGGCGAGACGGCCGTGCCCGGCGCGCCCGAGGCCCTGACGGCGCTGCGGGCCCGCGGCAAGCGCCTCGGCTTCATCACCAACAACAGCAGCAAGACCCGCCAGGCCTACGCCGAGAAGCTGCGGCGCCTGGGCTTCGGAGGCCCGGCGGGGCCCGGTGCTGGCCCCGAGGTCTTCGGCACGGCCTACTGCACCGCGCTCTACCTGCGCCAGCGCCTGGCCGGCGCGCCGGCCCCCAAGGCCTACGTGCTGGGCGGCGAGGCCCTGGCGGCCGAGCTGGAGGCCGTGGGCGTCGCCTGCGTGGGCGTGGGGCCCGAGCCGCTGCAGGGCGAAGGCCCCCGCTCCTGGCTGGACGCGCCGCTGGAGCCCGATGTGCGCGCGGTGGTGGTGGGCTTCGACCCGCACTTCAGCTACATGAAGCTCATCAAGGCCGTGCGCTACCTGCAGCAGCCCGGCTGCCTGCTCGTGGGCACCAACATGGACAACCGGCTCCCGCTCGAGAACGGCCGCTTCATTGCGGGTCCGTGCGCCCCGGGGGCGGGAGGCTGGAGGGCGGGCGGCGCGCCCCTCCCGTCCTCTGACCCCGGGAGCTCTCGTCCCCTCCCTCTCCGCCCCGCAGGTACCGGCTGTCTGGTCCGAGCCGTGGAGATGGCCGCCCAGCGCCAGGCAGACATCATAGGGAAGCCCAGCCGCTTCATCTTCGATTGCGTGTCCCAGGAGTACGGCATCAACCCGGAGCGCACCGTCATGGTGGGAGATCGCCTGGATACGGACATCCTCCTGGGAGTCACCTGTGGCCTGAGGACCATCCTGACCCTCACCGGAGTCTCCACTCTAAGGGATGTGAAAAGTAATCAGGAAAGTGACTGCATGTCTAAGAAGAAAATGGTCCCTGACTTCTATGTTGACAGTATAGCCGACCTTTTACCCGCACTTCAAGGTTAAAGATTTAGTGTCTTTAATGTCTGGAATAAAAAAAAATTAAAAATCACTTACCCAAATTAATAGGTGAGGCTTAACCATCTGTTCAGCTAGGTGGCTTCAAAGAGTAGACTTGGAGTTAAGCAAAGGCACTAGTTGTTAACCTTGTTTGTGAATGTGTAGGGGGCCATTTTGTTTACAGATGCTTATATTTTAAGATACTCTTTTAAGCTTGGAGGGCACTGTGGCAGTCCTGGGCTTTGGGTGCCTTTGGCAATGGCTGGCTTAGCATCTGTCCAGGATTCAGAACCTCAGGGCCTGTTGATGGGACTGAGGTGAGTCTAGGGGTGTCACGTACTTTATTGAAAATTTCATTCAGGGATCAAGCCCCCTTGCAGGGCAAAGGGGAGGAGAGGCTGATTATTTTGACTCTTGTGAGAAACTTGTACAGACCGGTGGTCACAGGGCCCCACGGGTGTGGTCGTCAGCAGAGGAGCCTGCTGCATCCCAGCTCCTCGCCTGCAGGGTGGGAGTGGAGGAAAGGGCTGCTCCCAGGTGGTGGTTGTCTCCCTGTCCTTGGGGTGTGGGGTGCTGCCCTTACCACCACCACCCCACACTTCCTTAAAAACCACTTTAATGTCACAACTGAGTGTCTGTTCCGTTTCAGATACCCGGGGCTGCCACTCCTCACACATGGTTGCGCAGTTCTGTAAGCTCAGCCCAGCTAAACCTTGGCTTTCTCAAATGTGCATTTAAACCCAGGTGACTGGGACTGAGCATGTTGTTGGCTGAGTGGCCAAGGGCATGGATGCCTTTGCTGAACTCTGTGCAGGGAGCTCAGAGCAGCATTGGTACCAAAAATTATTATTTTTTAACTTTTGAACAATTTTGTCAAGCAGTGGAATTGTATCTTAAGCGTGTTGATTAATAGCTGTGCTCTGTCTCATAGGGAAAATCCCACTGAAGGAATCGCTGTGCCCTGCCGCCAGCAGCATAGCTAAAGGCATGTGCTAGCCAAGGAATGCCTGTCGCCCAGGGTGCCCTCTGGGTGGAGGAGGAAAGAGGTGTCCCCAAGAACAGGAAGTCCTTTTACAAAGCATCCAGTCTGTTCTTGTCCTCCCGTACCCTTGTTTGGGTTGGCGGTTAGACGTCAGTGGTGCGTGAGGCCACCTGTCTTGGCGCTGGAGTCCCTTGTCAGTGGCCGGCGGGAGGACTGGCAGGATCCACCGGCTAGCCAAGGGTTCTTGGCAGGGGACCCTGGCCTTTTCTGCCTGTTCCCTAAGTTGCTGACCTTTGGGAACTGGCCTGATAAGCAGACTTTCCGGCCACAGTGGTAGGGTGGGGCCTGGGAAGCTGTTCCTTTTCGCCGACTCCTTCCCAGTGCCTCGCCCTGCACCCAGTGGCATCTGCCCGCAGCCTGTGGCTTCTCTCCTCACCCCAGGGTCACAGCACGCCTTCACTTGTTCTCTAAGAGTTCTTAGAGCAATAAAGGGTGTCCGGAGCCTTCAGCTCCTCCCAGGCCTGGGGTGTCTGGGGTTTGGACTCTGCCGTCGGGCAGTGCAAGGGCAGCCGGCGCCTGTGAGGTTGGTGGTGCTGACGTTGGCTCTGCGAGGTCGGCTCAAGGTGGGTCTGGATATTGAGCAGGCCTGTCAGGGCGTTGTCACCCACACCAGGAGCACGCAGCAGGTGCAGCAGCCAGTGACACCTCCCTTCTGCTGGGCAGTGGCCCAGGAGCCTGTGTGCACCCTATCTCTGTCCCTGTTGCACTGTATGAACCCAAAGGCATATTAAACTCAAACCTGTGCTGACTCGGGTGTTCCTTGCTCTCGCCTGGACAGCGGCCCTTGCATAGAGGCTGCAGCTAACTGCAGCATGAGGGTGGGGTGGGAGGACTCCATGCAGAAGGCTGTTCCGGAATTCCAATTCCAGAGCTGGAACACAGGCCACTGCAACTCCACCCCGTTTCAGGCCCATTAGAGGAGCAGATTCTGAAGAGTCAGGAAAAACAAGGTACAAAGGAAAACTAGAGAAGAAAAGGGCCATGGGGTGCAGCTGATGGAGGACACCACATTCTGAAGGCTGCCAGTGCCAGGGGGCGCCCTGACTGTCACAATGCGCCGTGTCAAGTGGCTGGAGACAGAAGCAAGGAGCCAGGGCCCCAGCACAGTCCAGTTAAGAGAAAGCCATGCTGGGCAGGGTAGGGGCTAGTGGATACGAGGCGGTCCTGACCATCCCAGGGCATGTGGGAGGTTGGAGTAGGTTGCCTTTATGGCAGTGGAGCCTCCTGGAAGCCATCCTGGCTTCAGGCATGTGCTCTGTGGAATGCCCCTCAGCCCACGCAGTGTCATGGGGTATGGGAAGCAGCTGGAGTACATGAGGAGTGAAGGAGAGAGGCGGTACAGAGTCCCATACCAGTTGTTCATGAAATAGGCATTTATTGATGGTTTGCTGGGTGCCAGGCCCTGTGCCCAGCCCTGAAGTCTAGAGGTAATCCAAGAGACTAGAAACAGACCTCTTTAGGAAAAATTAAATCTAAGCAGACTCTAAAATGGTCCTGGCTGGGCCCAGCTGCCCTCCATACCAGCCAGGGGACTTGAATTCCACAATGGTGGTGCTCTCACACCCTCCCAGGCCCATGTGCTTTCTGGTCTGCACAGGCCAGGTGTCAGGAGAGCCAGGCACCGTGACAAGCACCCCCAGGTGGGAAGGAGGGGGCTGTCCTGGCTCTGATACAGATATCAGGTAGCTGGGCTGGGGAGGAGGCAGTGGGGTTAGGAGGAGAGGGGGCTAGGACGGTGGTTTGGCTCATCAGAGCTGTCCTGAGGTTTCCCTGGCTGACTCCAAGGGGCGGGTGACAATCAGCACATTGTCACTGGGGCTGCAGCATGGAGCAGGGGAGCTGCCGCAAGGAGAGTCCCGGGCCTGGGCCTGTTGGGGTGAGTGCCTCCCACCACCCAGGGCCCTCTCCTGGGACAAAGACCCAGGGCATGTCCTGGTCAAGTGACAGGAGTACGACACCCACCTCCCAGCCTCCTCAGCCCCTACCTTCCCTGAGCCACCCTGCTCCCTGCCCCACTGACTACAGTGTGCCCCCAGGTGAAGACCAAGCCCTGCCATGGGGGCTGGAGAGCCCCTGGCCTGCTGCTGCTGCTGCTGCTGTCACTGGCCACTGTGGGGGCCGTGGCTGGGGGGCTTCTTGGCTTTGCTTCCAGCCCTCCCAAGGTGAGCCCGTCTACAGAACTTTGGCAGAGGCACGGACAGTGGGAAGGGGGAGGAGAGGCCAGCACATCGCAGCCCTCCAGTGGAGCTAGGGCTCGGAGCAGAGGGCAGGAAGGCCAGAGGGGTAGGGGGGTCAGAAGGCTTGAAGCAAGGCTGGGGGAGTGTCGGGGCTGCCCCCGCTGGCCCAGCTGAGCTCTGCTACCCTCTCAGCCACTGCTGCAGATGCTCCGTCTGACTCTCCCAAGCCCCAGGGTGCCCCGGTCCAACCAAACCGCCCAGGTGGACGTGGCCCGGAACGTGGCGACCATCAGGGTGACCCCAGCTGAGAGCAATGGCAGTTGGGCAGTGCTGTTCGACGGGCAGAGCGTGAGTGGGCCGGGGGGATCACCGTGCACGGGGGTTCCAGCAGCCCTGCCTCACCGGCCTGCCTCTCCAGGGCCGTGTCTGTTACCGCCCCTGGGAGCACCCGGCCTGCTTCCTCCACCTGATGGAGGCCCGAGACCGACAGACCCTGCAGCTGCTGGTGAATACCTCTGAGGTAAGCAGCCCCCAGGCGGCCAGGCTCCCGGGCCGGGGGCCAGACAAAGGGTCCTGTGTACGGCCCGGCCCCGGGGCAGGCTGGGGCTCTGATTTCAGGGGAACAGAAGCTCTATCTTCCCTTGGCTGAGGCTGCTGACAAGAGCTGAGGGCGGGGCTGGCGCTGTGCCAGCATGGCCAGGGGTGCATGGGCCCTGCCCGGCAAGGGGTGGTGCAAGTGCCCCTGTCCAAGAGCCTTCTCTGCAGGCCCAAGGGTCTCGCAGCCCCAGCCAGGACACCCACTACGCCCAGGAGCTGCTGGCGGTGCTTGGGAGCCACGAAGTGGACCCCACCCAAGTGGGGGCTTCGGTGCAGCACCTTTGCGCGAAGACCCCCATTTACTGGGCCCGCCGAGCAGAGGGTGAGTTGGGGCAGGCTATGTGAGGAGGCCTGGGCTCCCGCAGGACAGTCTGGGGAGAGGGGAGGAGGAGCCCTTTGGGGTTCACGAAGGCCCCTCCCCCCAGGGCCCCCGAAGCAGCGGCTGATCTACCTGTGCATCGACATCTGCTTCCCAAGCAACGTCTGCGTGTCAGTCTGCTTTTATTACCTCCCAGACTGAGTCCCTAGCCCGGCGCAGCCCCACAGGCAGCCAGCTGGCGGCCCTGTCACCAGCACCGGAGGGCAGCTACTGGCGGCGCTAATAAACCCCTCCACCTGGCCGTGAGGTGTTCTCTGTGGCCTCAGGAAGTGAAACCGGTGGGAGGGAAAAGCACTGACTTGGGGGTGGGCACCAGCCTCAGGTCCCCTCGGCGGCTCTAGGCCGTGTGGGTCCGGCATTTCTGAGGGCAGTGCAGGCAGGCTCGGGCAGGCCTCCTGAGTCCTTTCACACCCAGATGACAATTGGGCACTGACAGGGCCCCAGGGTGGACGGGCCTGGCTAGTCTAGGTTGGCTCAGGGGGCCTGGGTAGGTCAGTCAGGTCTAGCTAGCCTAGGGTGGCAGAGGCTAGCCCGTGGGGGTTCACTCTGACCTTGGCAGCTGAACAGGCATATTGAGCTGGTGTGCCCAGATGGCTGCCTGCAATGCTGAGGAGGCGCAGGCTAGCCCAGCACACTGTCATTGAAGGCCAGGCAGACGACGGCTTTCTGGTGGCCGCCATACTCTCTCTTGATCTCTCCTGTCTCCACGCACCAGAGCCGGGCCAGGTTGTCAGAGGAAGCTGCAGGGAGGGAGGGTGTGGGCAGCAGCTCAGGGCACAGCCCCAGGCAGCAGAGGAGCAGCAGCAATGAACAGGTTGTTGGGGTGGGAGAGGCATGGTGGGTGGGGCTCACCGGTGACGATGTATTGGGAGTCCCCTGAGAAGGCGCAGCCCCACATCCAGCCTCGGGACGACTCTCCAGGGTTGCTGCTCTTGATGCTCAGCTCTGTCATCAGGGAGAAGTTGGATGTCCTCCAAATCTTGCAGGTCTGGTCAGCAGAGCAGGTGGCAAGGAGCCTGGGGGTGGGTGTGAGCATGGCAGGATGTCATCAGCAGCCACTCCCACCCTGCACCCCCTTGCCGTCCACCAGGCAGGCCCTGACCCATCAAGTCCCCAGCCTCAGGCAGGTCCCCTCCTCCCCGCAGCCATCCAAGGGCTCCTGGTGCCCAGCCCCCGCCACGCACGTGGAGTCAGGGCTGAAGCGGCACTGCAGGGCATAGCGAGTGTGCGCTGGGATCTTGGTCTTGGGGATGAGCTGTGTCACCTCATCACCAATGCCCCCAGTCAGATTCCAGACATAGCAATTCCCCTGCGAGGTAGAAAGGAAGTTATGGGAGGCCCGGAGCCTCCAGCCTGACACATAGGGAAGGATGTCCTAGCAGCTAGATGCAGATCCAGGGGCTGCCATCCAATACTGTGGCTGTGCACAAGGATCTGGGGGCTGGGGACATGTGGCAGGCACATCTGGTCCTGCCTGCAGGGAGCACCTGGGAGGCCTGGCCCAACCAAGAGCCATACCTGGAGGGCCAAGAACAGGAGGCCACACTTGGCCTTCCTGGAAGATGCTGCTGGCCAAAGGGAATGTGAGGACCGAGGTGGGAGGAGGCACCCCAGAGAGAGAGACCAGGAGGGCAAAGGCTCAGAGGAGGGCAGTCTAGGGACATTGTGGGACAAGTGACTCGCTGAGATTTAATGGACATTAAAGGGAGAAAATGAGGCTGGGTAGGAGATCAGTGGCCAAACTGCAGCATCCTGAGGCCATGGTAAAGAGCCAGGGGCACAGTGGGTGTATTCAGGGGGACAGTGCAATCAGGCTGGTACTGCTGAAGGATGCTCTGGCGGCACAGGGAGAATGGATCGGGGGCAAAGGGGAGGTCTGAAAGGAGGGAGGGGGGTTAGAGAGAAGCTGCAGCTGCTGTCGGGGGAGACAAGGGAAACCCGGACCAGGAGGCAACAGGGAGGAAAGAGGGAAGTGGACAGACTTGAGAGATTCTGGAGATGGAAGTGACCAGCCTGCTGGATGCGCTACGGCAGGTAGTGAGAGGCGGCGTCAGGAGCAACACCCAGGTTTCTGGCTTTGGTGGTTGGGTTGGAGCTGGAGCCCAGGAGAGGGAAGCAGGACTGGGAGGGGAAGGGGGAGGAGGGGTCTGAAGGACATCTGGGGAGTAAGCCCACCTGCAGGGAATAAGGGAGATCAGGGGCTGGGTGCTGCTAAGCTGGCCTCCCCCACTGCACCCACCCCAGGACTCACAGCGCTATTGACTGCTGCCATGTAGCTGGCGTCAGGGTCGATGTGGGCAGATGTGATGGAGACCTCGGGCTCGGGGATCAGCTGCTCGTTGTGGTCAGTCTTCAAGTCCCAGATGTGGATGGCGCCGCTCTGGTCCCCCACAATGAGTTCTGCCTGGGGTGCAGGGGAGGTGAGGTGGGGCAGAAGCCCTGCCCTCCAGAACCCCAGGGTGCCCAGCCCTGTGCACAGCCCTCACCTGGTTGGGATGCAGGCACACGCAGTTAATGGGCGCATTCACCTGGAAGATCCGCTGACACTGCAGGTTCCGGGATCTTCGGGTGGGGGATATACACCTTCTGTTGGTGCCCCACCCAGATGCCCTTTCCTTGGCCATTTATCCTTGTTCCTCTACTGATGGGAGCTGCCTCAGAGGAAATATCTGGGAGGTTCGGCCCTCCCCAGGGGCAGCCTGAAGCCAATGACTGGCTCAGAAGGGGCATAAAGGCCAGCCCCTTGCCTCAAGGTGGGACTCACCCTCGGATACAATTCACTCGCCAGAGCTCCCTGTGGGATCAAGCTGAGGCTGGACTCGCCTTTGTGTGGCTTCACCACACAAAGCCCTATCCTGATTTCCTCAATAAATCACCCACACAGAAAACCCCATCTCAGCCTCTGCCTAGAGGGGACCTACCTAACACAGTCTCCTTCCCGGCCTGGCCCTCATGACCATACCAAGGCAGCAGGCCCTCCCTGCCCAGCACCCCACACCTGAGGTCCCAGATCCGGGCGGTGCAGTCCTCTCCACCCGTGTACATCCAGCGGCCATCCTCATGGAAGCCCACAGATGCGATATTCTTGTTAACCCCATCATAGCTGATGATGGGGTTGGGGTTATTGGAGTTGAGATCATACATGCGAATGTGCTGGTAACCTAGGGGCACAAGTCAAACTGAAGTTGGGCTGTGCCTAGATCCACCACCAGAGATCAGGGGTTGGGGTCGAGGGCACAGGTACCTGCAGCAGCAATCATGCTGCGGTCAGGCGTGATCTCGAGCGCGTTCACCTGCTGGGTCTGTCAAGGAGGGTAACGAACAGAGTCCTGGGGCCAAGGCCCTCGAGGCCTCGAACGGGCTCAGCTGCTGCATCCTTCCCACCTCAGGCCTTTGCCCAGGCTGTTATCCGCACCACGCGTCCTGCCCAGCACCACCCTTCCCACCCCCTAGTGGAGGATACGGAGTCCTGGTGCTGCACTGTACGGGTGCAGATCCCGCTGTGGGCCTGCCAGAACCGCACCGTGTGGTCATAGCCCGCTGTGGCCAAGATGACCGGGTCACTGCCCACCGTGCCTGGGGATGTGTTCATGGTGCGACTGCTTGGAAAACCCGGGCCTGCACAGGGCCCGAGATATGACCGACAAGGGGTGAGAGGTCAGAGCATCTGGAGGAGAGAGGCGTGCAGTATTTAGGGAATATCCTCTATGTCCTAAGTAGATTACAGGTCCACTAGATGCTGAGGGATAGGTATTATCACTCTCATTTTAGATGAGGAAACTGAGGCTCAGAGAAGTTCAGGGACGGGTGACAACCGGCGAGGGACAGCTCCGAGCTCCAAGGCGCATGCTCCGTTCCCCGCCCCACGGACCGGGCCGGGACGCCACCCCACCCGCGGCCGGCAGGGGGCAGTCACGCCCGGGGCGCCGCTCTGCCGCAGGGGCGGGCCGCGCGTGCGCAGGGCGGCGGACGGGCCCGAGAGGCAAGGAGAGCGGTGCGGTTGCGCATGCGTAGCAGGCCAGCGGCGGGACCTGATGGGAGGGGGCGCTCTCTGGCTGGACCCTCGAGCTCCCTGGTGTTCCGCCGACCGCCCTGGCTCCGTCTCGCTGGGCCAGCTTACCCCGGGCGCGCTCTTCCGGCCACCGGCAGCCGCTTTCCGGCCCTCGTCCCGCGGCCTCCGTACCTTACATGCGGCTCCACACTCCGCCGCGGTCCAGGACGGCGAGAGGAGCCGGAGCGAATCGATAGAGGCCGAGGCCGAGCGTAGAGTTATCGATGGGCCATTAGGGCGACACCACGCGGCGTAGGGGGGTGAGTGGGACGAGACCAAAGTTCTGGGGCAGGGGGCCCCTCTCGCCCTGGAAGAACCAGTGGAGGCCTGCGTGGTGCCTAGCGGCCCCAGCCTTCTCCCCATTCAGGCACCCCACCTTTCTGACACGGCTACCCATTTCCAGACTTGGATCCCGAGACGGGGTGGCGCCATCCCCTCCCTTCCCTCAGTCCCCTACTCCCCACGCCAGGCTAGGATTCCCAGGTAAATTACAGATAATTTAACTAGGTTAAATAGCAGGTAAATTTCAGATAAGTAATAATTTTTTTTTTGTTTAAGCATATCCCGAATATTGCATGGGATATACTTACACTAACAAGTTATTTGTTGCCTACACGAAAATCAAATGTAACTAGACTTCCTGTGGTTTTATTTGCTAGATCAGGCAACCCTAGTTCGGGCTCTCTTTTCAAGCCTGTCCAGCCCTGGCCGGCCTGACCCTCGGGTCCCCTGACTCAGCTCAGTGACCCCTCCAAAATTGGGGTCCCTCATACCCCCTTATCCATTCCAGCCTTCCCACACACCACACGCATGGCCTCACCCTCTTTCACAGGACAATAGAGTCCTTGAGACAGGCTCTCCCGCGGTGTCCTCGAACCGTGGAATGTAGCTGCACACCCCCCTTCCTTCCTCTGGCCCCTGGACCAAGGCCATGTCCCCCGCCCATCCCTCTGGGCCCTGGGTCCCAGGAACCTTCTTTCCTGTACCTTTCCCACCTCCCCTCCTTCCTTCACCTCAGCCTTTAAACACCATAAAACAACCCAAAACTCCTTCCAGCAGGCACTCACTCCTTCAAAGAGCCATCCTCACTGCCTTGCTGGCTCCATGTCCTCACTTCCCGCTCACTCCTCTACCCGATGTCGTGTCTTTGACCCCAGCTCTCCAATGAAAATGTCACAAGATCACTGGCCATCTCACACTGCCAAACTCAGTGGATACTTTTCCTTCTGCATCTTGACACGTCTGCCCAGTGTTTGACAGCTCTGCTCCTGAAAAGCTCCCATCACCTAGCTTCTCGCACCGGCACTCAGTCTCTGTCTCTGCCTCTCCCTAAAGGCTAGTGCCCTCCAGAGTTCTTGTCTCTGCACTGCCACACTGTCCCTGGGAGCTCTAGTTCACTCTCCAGGGCTTCCAATACCATGCCTGCCCCAGGCCTTTCCATCCTGTGTCCAGCTCAGATCCAGCTCCCTGTTAGACATTCTCCCTCGAAGGCCCCACGGACACTTCCACTTTCCGTGGCCAAGACAATTTATCATAGACCAAAGGGCTTCCCCTTCTTCTTCTTTTTTTTTTTTTGTGAGGAAGATTAGCCCTGAGCTAACTTCCAGGCCAATCCTCCTCCTTTTGCTGAGGAAGATCAGCCCTGGGCTAACATCCATGCTCATCTTCCTCTACTTTATATAGGACACTGCCATAGCATGGCTTGACAAGCAGTGTGTCGGTCTGCACCCGGGATCCGAACCTGCGAACCCTGGGCCGCCAAAGTGGAGCGCATAAACTTAACTGCTACGCCACCAGGCCGGCCCCTGGGGCTTTCTCTTCTGCGTGTCAGTGCCCACCGTGTGTTACAGCTAGCTGTGACCCCTCTCCCATGACAGCCTCCTGACCTCCCTCCCCACACCCACTTTGGCCCCACTCCAGGCTGTCCTTCACATTGCAGAGTAGTCTTTTAAAAACCTAAGTCTGACCCCTGTTAGAAGCCTTCAGGGGTCCCCTCTCACTTTCCAGACTCCTGGGCCTGGCACCTGCTGACCCTGCGACTTTCTCTTTCTGCTCTATAGGCCATGTGCTGCATCCGGCCCGAGTGGACAACAGCCTCAGAATTCGCCACCACACACTCCCCTTTGAACCCTTGCCTGCTCCTAGGATGCTTTCCCTTCTGCCTCTTTATCTGATGAACTCTTGGTTTTCCACATTTTTCATAGCATTTTGAGGGCTTATTCTGTGTGAGGTGTTATGCTGATATTTTTGTTTTAATTGTTGAGGTGAGATTCACATAATATGAAATTAACCTTTTTAAAGTAAACAATTCAGTGGCACTTAGTACCTTCACAATATTGTGCAACCACCACCTCTATCTAGTTCCAGAAGTTTTCATCACCCCAAAAGGAAACCCCGTACTCATTATGCAGTTACTTTCCACCCCTGCTCCCCTCTCAAGACCCCAGGCCCTGGCAACCACCAATCTGCTTTCTGTCTCTGTGGATTTGCCTGTTCTGGATATTTCATATAAATGGAATCATACGATATATGGTCTTTGTGTCTGGCTTCTTTCACTAAGCATAAATGTTTTCGACGTTCTTCCAGGTTGTAACATATCTCAGTACTTCATTCCTTTTTATGGCTGAATAGTATCCCATTGTGTGAATGGACCACATTTTGTTTATCCATTCATTAGCTGATGGACACTTGAGTTGTTTCCACTTTTTAGCTATCACAATAATGCTGCTGTAAAAATTCCTATACAAGTATCTTCTTGAGTACATGTTTTCATTTCTCTGTATACTAAGAGTGGAATTTCTGGGTCACATGGTAACTCTATGTTTAACTTTTTGACGAACCGCCAAACCGTGCTGAGCATTGTACCTACATTATGCGTCTGGTCTTTACAATGGCTCTGCCGAGGAAAAGCCACCCCCATTTTGGAGACGAGAAAGCTGAGGCTCAGAAATCTAGAGTCGTGTGTCCAAGGGCACACAGCTGGAACACGACAGAACCCGTCCTGCTGGGCTCAGCTCTCCCCTGATCTCACCCTTTCTGGCTGAGGTGACAACTCCCTGGGCAGCCCCAAACCTTGTATCTCCTCCCTGTCTTCCTCTCTAAAATTCCCCAGAGCAGCTCCGCCAGGCTCAGGGCAGCTCTGGGAGTGGCAAATGAAGACATGGGCTTGGAAGGCTGGGAGGAAAGAGCCCTGTGAACCTAGCACCTGAAGGATGTCTGGAGCAGGATAACCTGCCAAAGACCCTGCGAGCAGGAGAGAGGGGTGGGGCCGGGAAGGCTGGAAGACTTGGCCACATGTCTGTGGGGTCCCACCTGTGACCCAGGGAACAGGCCTTGAACTGTTTGCCTTTTCTGTAGGGGGCTCTAGGTGGAGCCTGGGGGCTACTCACGTCCCATGCCTAAGGGTAACTAGCAGGCGGGACCAGGCTCCCCACCCAGCTTGGGCAGCTCCAGCATCATCTCTGCTGGGCAGGAAGTGGGGAACAGGAGGCATGGTTGTTGATCCCCTCTTATGTGCCAAGCACCAGCTGAGCGCTTTAGAGAGGTGGTCCCTATGAGAATGAGAGAAACCATGGCAGCTAACATATGCCGCGTGCTCCCAGCAGCCCATGGGGAGGGTATGTTTGTCATTCCCTTTTCATACATAAGGGGCCAGGCACCACGGCTGGGGGAGGGGGGCTGGAGGGGCACCAGGAACGCCTGAGCAGGCGCACAGCTGGTGGGCAGGAGCTGTGCTGCTGGTGGAGGCTGCCATGCAGCTGGGAAGGGGGCCAGCCAAGTTGCAGTGAAGCGACCGCCAGCTCTACTCCAGGCTGAGCCTCAGCAATTCTGCTGCCTCAGCGGCCCCTCCTCCTGGGATCGTCCTCGGAGTCCTGGCTTCCTGGAGGGCTGCCCAAGTCCCACACTTCTGCATCCTCATCCCCTAGTGGCCTGCTGTGCCGCCCCCATCCCCAGGCTGGGGGAACCCAAGGCAGACGCACATCTCTGTTTTCATGTATACCCTCCCGTCACCCCTATACCGCAGGCAGAGCTGCTGGCCCATTTTACAGATGAGGCAGCTGAGTGTTGGGAGCTTGTCCGAGGTCGCTGGGATGGTCAGTAGCAGATCTAGGACTTCCTGACCCCTCTTTGGGCAGTAGCCTCACCTAGCAGGGTGAATTCAGCAGAATCTGTACAACTCTCTTCCCAGATCTGTCCTCCTGAAGTCTGAGAGTGACTAAGGGGTGCCTGTTTGTGGGGTATACGTGGAGCTGGAGCCGGGCAGAGAATGGAGGTGGGGTGGCTGCAGGCAGGGGCCAGTTCATTACCCAGAGGAATCCGAGAATTCTCAGTTAGAACTTGGCCTTTCAGGTCATGATGAAGGTACATTTGTCAAGGTAGGAGGATAGAACATATTTTATTTAACAGGTTATTAGGCTGATTTATAACGTTTAAATATTTAGACTTTTGGAGTCTGAGCCTCTGTTTGTACCTTTGCCCCAAATCCTGCAATTCGGCTCAGGCCAGAGTGGTTTGCCTTAGCCAGTCAAAACATAAAAATAATGCTAAGGGTGAGAGCTATCTTTTTATTTTTATTTTTTGTAGTGCTCCCTGTGTGCCAGGCACACTGCTGGGCTCTGCAGATGCAAAGATGAATAAAATAGTCAGTACGCAGACAGGCCAGGTAGGGAGACCCAAGAATACCCCAAGACCCACAGAAGCCATTTGTTGAGCCCTTACCAAGTTCTACTATGAAGTGCTTTATGGATAGCACCACAATTAATCCTCAAATAACCTAAGGGGAGGTATCATTCTTATCCCCATTCGAGGGAGGGGAAACTGAGACTCAGAAAGACAAAGTGATAAGAAAAACAAACCCAGTAAGATGCAGAACTGGGACAAGTGCAGAGGCCAAGTTGTGTTCAAAACTCAGATTCATGACCTCGAGGGACCTTTTGGTGAGTCACTTGGCTTCTTTGAGCCTCAGTTTCTTCATCTGTAAAATGGGCACAGTAAGCCCAAGTTTATTTATGAAGTGACCAGCACGGTGCCTGACCCAGCAGGTGCCCAGGAATTGGTCACCATAAAGGGTGGGGGGAAGGGCCCTTGCATTTAGGGACCACTCTGGGAGCCCAGCATATGCCAGAAGACCTAGGCTTGCTCCCTAAACTTCACCGGAGACCCCATGGAGGGAACTGACTAGCTGCCCTGATCAGGCGAGCCCAGCGCCTGCTGCTTCCCCTCCATCACCCTCTGGCCACTTTCCTCCTGGACCTGCTTGACACTATGAGCCATAGGAAGAGGAGTGGCACCATATTTGCGAACCTCACCAAATGGTCCTAACAGTCTTGCCCGGTTAGGGTGATGATCTGCCCTTTCCTGCAAATGAGGAAACCCAGCCTGAGCCAGGACACAGACTCCAGCCGATCTGTCTCTGTGGAATGCTGCAGCCACGACAAGTTGAGGGCCAAGGCCCAGGAGGTCAGACGAGTGAGACCTGTGTGTGTGTAGGAGGGTGTCAGCATCTGTCAAACAGGACTGTCCTGCCTGGGGCTGCCAGAGTTTGTGCTGGAGGCTGGAGGGTAAGCAGGCCTGGGTGGGGGCTCAGATTAGCGCTGGGGATGGGGGATTGAGCCCCCCTTGGCGGTAGGTGTGGGGGGTTGCACTCTAGTTGGTGCTGGGGAGCTGCACTGGGGTTCAGATTGAGGCTGGGGGGGCTGTTGCCTGCATTGTTTGTGGAGAGAGCCACAGGCTGCTGGGGAAGAAGGTGCAGTTGTGGGGGTGTGAGTTCCCTGACACCGAATTCATTATTGGGAGATTCCTCTTCACAATCCCTTGACACCTCCCACGGGAACCACGGGCCAGAAATGTCTGACAGCCTCTGGCGGGCCGGCTCGCCTGCCGCCGGCGCCCGGGTCTCTCCTACCCGGGTCCTCTCCCGCCCACTGCCTCCGAGTCCCTCCCGCTTTGGATCCCGCAGCCTCTGGAAGCCTCTCTCAGGTTCAGCCTCGCGCAGCCGCCGAGTCGGGGCTCACTGTCCGGCCCCTCGGCGGCTGCTGTCCCCAGCCCCTGGCGGTCACCCGGGGCCGCGGGGCGTCCGCAGAGGCCGGGCCTGATCCGCGCGGCCCGCACGTGGGGAGGGGGTGTCTCGAGAGGCCGGGGCCTGATATAGGGGCGGAGCCAAGGAGCCGGGCGCGCGGCCGGCGCGGGCGGACGGAGGTCGGCGGCCGCAGGAGCGGGACCCACGCGTCCGGGAGACGGCGCCAGGTGC